AGAGTTGAACAAAACTGAATTAAACACATTATCAAACAGCTGATGTGGATCTAGAGTCGTTATGTTTATATGTCATAAAGTTGAATTTATTTATGCAGATTAGTAGTGCAGATAGTAATAATAATGATGATCATTTTAATATAAAAACGTTAATGATTAATCGATAATCGATCGTTAATTTTTCCGACAATCGATTAAGAAAATTTCATCGAGTGCCCATATGCAGAATACTCATGGCTAATAGTGTTAATAGGCATCGTCACAAGCCGCTCCCACCCTGTAATATTGACAGAGTGTGTGACTTCAAAGCCCTTTTTGAGCTCACAAGAAAATGAGCCTCTCTCTTTCTCTCTGTGCCTTTGTGACATTCACACTTGATTAGCTTTGCAAATGAAGTTTTCCTTCTGTGGAGGTGAGAGGCGAGACCTGGGCCCCCCACACTTGTTAAGTCTTTCATGAATTGTCTGGGATACATTTAGTTGAGTAACTTTTTCAATTAATTGTACTTTTCAGAGTACTCTTCTTGCAGCATACTTTTACTTCAACTTGAGTAATAATAATATAGTAATATTTTTAGTGAAGTAACAGTACTCTTACTTGAGTAAAGGTCGCCACACACTATATTCTCATATATTTGCCAGGTTTAGGCTGCGATTCTTGAGTTCGGGGAGGCGTGACCTGAGTTTGTGATTTTATGTGTGATTTTGAAGCCACTGCGCTCCTCATGTATGTGCCGTCTGTGTGACTCTGAGCTGCTCTGGCAGATCATAACTGTACCAGCCAATAAACCAGAGCATCACGGGCAGATGGACTAGGGCTGGGCGATTAGGTAAAAAAATAAAAAAATAAAATAAAAAAATCAATCACAATTTCTATTCCCCATATTGAACAATCTCGATTTTAGATTAGATCTTCTTCCATCTTATAAAAAAACGTAAGACATGTGGACAAGGGCAGGGTGTCAGGATCACTACAGTCTCCGCGATGTCAGTGCGCTAAATCAGGACTTAAGTTTCACTCGTAAAGGGTGAGAAAGTAGTTGTTTACTTTCCATAACTTGGATTATAATGATTAGAAGCATAAGAGGAGAGAAAAGAACAGAAATAAACTGAGGAGCTGGATCAGATACGGAGAGAGAGCCGCACACGCGGGGAGAGAGCCGCACACGCGGGGAGAGAGCCGCACACAGAGGCACAGGGAAGGAGACGCCGGACTTTCGTTAAATTGTGCAGATTTAAGTCAAAACTTGTGAAAGGCGAGGACACGTGAGGAGACATAAACAGGAGGACGTAAATCCTCGTCAACACTATTCACTCTTACTGCCACATGATTGGTGAGAAAAAGGAGATGGTAGTTCCTCACGTGTGTCTGTTTCCATCCACACCCAGATTGAGGTGAAGCTGCAGATTAATGACAGTGACTCTGCTTTTATAGCCAGCCTTCTGAGCATTAAAATCATGTATCTGAAATCTGAAGTATTGCACCACATTTCACAAATAATACGTTTTGACTTGCATCTAAACTAGAAGTGCAATACACTGATCTTTTGGACACTCAAGAATCTCAAAGCGTGTTATTTTGCTGTAAACAGGAAGCTGCTGATGTGAGGTGTGCTCACAGCTTCCCGCTGCAGGCTTTGTGATCGGAGATTTAAAATCTCAAAAGATTCTCGTCGTGTCTGTGGTGTGCGTTGTTTTCGCACCTTTAAAAATCATTTAATATTGAAAAATCCTGTAGTGTGTGGAGGCCTTAATAGTTTTGGTTACTCTTCCAAATGTTAGTCTACAACTGAAAAGATTCATGTTGGCAATATGGAATTGTTTGAACATTTGTGATTTGTGTTTCTTGTAGTGCTCCTACAGATGTGATTTTGTGTCTCATTTTTGTGCATTATTTATGATATTGTCCTTCAAATTACATTACAACTTCAAATGATTAATCGGATGTTACATCCCAGCAGTTACTGTTTAAGTTACACTTATTTGAGTAATTTCTTGGATCACAACCTTGTACTTCTACTTGAGTAATATTTTACTTAAATATTACTTAAATAAAATGTTTGGACACTCAACCCTCCTGTGCTGAGATATCCCTGCTTTTTTCTCTGCGTTTTTTGGACACATGCTACCTCCTCTCTCTCTCTTTATCTCCGTGAAGCCCCTGTGCTCGCTCGTGGTGACAGTTTAAAATAAAGCAGGTCAGGTAAGACTTGTCAGGAGACTTGCTGTACATCTGTTGTTTGTTGCACCAGAATATCCAGGTGTGTTACCTGCTCCAGTCTAGACAAGGTACAGCTGATGTCTGACACAGCCCTTCAATCTTAGTTTAGTGGAAGATCTTCGGGTGCTAAGGAAAATAAGATGGTGGCATAAGAGTCACATTTTTGGAGGAAAAGAACCGTATCCCCTTCTCCTATCTGTCCCTCTGGAGTACTAGTATTGTTACTTTTCCCTTAGGTGCTTTTCTCCATGGAAATGTTATTGCTTTGTCTGGAAATGTTCCACAGAACAGTATTGCACTTGCCTGTCTTCATTATTATTATTTATTCAAATACAGGTGTTATTTTTATTTATTTTTTGCAGTTGTACTGTGAGCAGGGTCACCTCTCCACAGATCTGACTTGTAACATGGCTTTTGGATGTTACGCACTTTTCTCCAAAGAGATAGATATTAAGGAATGGATTTGATACTCGATACTGATTCTGATACCAAAATGATGATTAAAAAAAATTATAATAAATAAAAACACTCACTATTCATATAAGGAGTATTTTGCAAGAGCTTTCCATCATGTTATAGTGTTGCTTATAATAAAAAAAAAAAACATGCCTGAAGAGTTATAGGTGTGCCGGGGTTTCATTAGCTGATAGTGTTGTGATAGCGCTCTGAAGGGGGAGTGACTTAATGCGTGTGTTAAAGGAGGGGAGACTCGGAGTGTCAGAACTTATGAAACATGTTAAAACATTGTTTTTCAGTGAATATAGCATTTTCAAAATAATAAAAATACTGTGATCTAAATATGTTATGTGTTAGCAGTTAAAAATTAGTAGAAGTAAAATAGCTCTTCTTTAATGAACTTAGTTTAGATAAGAAATGACTCATGTCTACTCCAGTGCCCAAACTAACCAAAACAAACATGGTGACCCCGTACAGCCTGTTTTAGTGTCAATACTGACCGTGTTTTTCGAACTGTAGGCGCACTTAAAATCCTTTTTCATTTGCGCAAAAATCGACAGTACAGTTCTTGTAATCTGGTCTGCCGTATCTATTAATTCTGATTGTGTGACCTTGAACCGATTTTATGTTGTACATGGCGCTCAAAAATCTGTCAAAATGTTTTAGTACGACCGTTAAGCTACGAAGTTGTACCACCTGATGGATTGTCAGAGTATTTCGGCTACCGTACTCAGGAGCCATGTGGAGTAAAGGTTCTGCGTCCGCATTTATGACATCAATGAAATGCTACAGAGAATATATGTCCATTCATATGTACGGTCTATGCGTATGACCTGCAGACTTGGTCCAATATAAGCTGAACCACATCAGGGCACAAGGAGCGAGCTGTTTTTTTCAGCGCTTATAGTTTATGCAAATGAGCCATGTAGTTTAAAATTTTGTTTCTATAAAATGTAAACAAACGTGTCAAAGCTGCATTAACACATTATTAGTCAGTGTATATTTGAGTCATCCTCGTAGGAAATAAAAAACAAACTTAAATGATCCACCCACATTCACATTCATAATCCACATTCACCAAGACAGGGAGGCGACACCGGGCGAGTTACACCAAGATCTGCTGATGGATCGTGGACGCCTGGACTAAGGATCAGTCTCAAGTGTCGTCACTTAATGCACCTTATAATCCAGAGCACCTTATTGTCTGAAAAATATGGTATTTAGTTTGTGAAAAAGGTAGAAAGTAAGTGCTATGCTTTTTTCATAATTGGATTTAATTTACCGTATTTTCTGCACTATAGAGCGCTCTGGATTATAAAGTGCACTGTCACTGAATGGTCTATGTTCAAACTTTTTTCACATATAAACCACACCGGACTATAAGGCGCATTAAACGAAACACAACAGTTAGATAAGACAGTTAAACTTTATTTAACGCGTTCACAATAACTCGCAACTTTGTTCAATTGTAACACGTAAAAAAAATACTGTCTGAGACGCTAAATTGTTATTGAATTCACAATAAGTCATAATAGTTGAAACAGTTGGGTGATTCCGGCGTCCAGCACGCCCACATCCCTCTCGGCATTATCTGAGTCAGTGTGGTTACTGTTCCCTGGAGTTCAGTTCAGTGATGATTCTGGTCTTGGTGAAAGCTCGGACCACAGTTGATACTGATCCTTAGCCCAGGCGTCCATGATCCGTTTGGCAGATCGTGGCGTAAGTGGCTCGGCGCTGTCGCTCTGTCTTGGTGAATGTGTGTTCTCCTTCTCTCATCCACTGCTCCCACGCAGCTCGCACTTTCACTTTATAACAGCCTTGAGTTTAAAGTGGCCGTTGTGAGCGTGTCTCTTGACAGGTGCATTTTGATATTAAAAGGAATTACAGTATGTATTACTCCTGATGCTCCTGACTACGGGAGCCGTAATGCTGCAAGTGGAGCGGCTTTGTAGTTTACTAAAGTCGTACTAAGACAAACCAATAAATTCATATACAAGACGCTCTGGATTATAAGGCACCCAATTGTTTTTTGCTTTTAAGTGCGCCGTATAGTGCGGAAAATTGGTAAGTTAGATTTTTCGGCTTGTTCTGTTGTTGTGATGCTTCAACCAGTCAGATTCAAGTATATGTACTGACGCTCCACATTTACCAGTCACTTTTAGCGAGAGCCGTTCCAGATTGATAATGTGTAGAACTCAGTTCAGGGTGACACACATATCAGTCTGCTGTGAGGTTAAATGGGAGGTGGCCTTTATGAAAAGATGTCAGAAAACTGCTTTTAATGATTACATGCAGAACTAAAATAGTGCTTCATTGTTTCTTAGACTCCAGACTTCTATATCAGATGCTGAAGAAAGCGAGCAGCTGAATGGCCTCTACATGTGAGTACTGAATATCCGTACGGTGCAGAGACCACACTGCAGCGGTACGAGTGTCACCCCTCATGACCAGAGGAAATGTGTCTGCATGTGTCTGACAGTTACCAATGACTTTCTATTCTTCTCACACACATTTGCACTTGTTGTGTCTAGCTCCAATGCCACTGATGCATGCCTCACAAAGGATGCTCATTTAGAGAAACAAAGAGCTGCTAAATGAGTCTTTGTGTTTTATTTATTTTATTTGTAGGACAGTATATAGCAGCATTGATTTCATATGGTAATACGTAGGGATGGGCATGATTAGTCGATTAATCGATAATTGATCATTAAGAATTTCATCGATTACGTTAATTTTAATCAACAAACCGAATGTAGGTTGCTGTGTGTAACGTGACCAAACAGGTCTGTACATGTGTCTCTCTGTATCAGAAGGAGCGAGCAAACACAGTCAGTCCGCCTGCAACGTACCGAAGTGCATATGCGTATTTAACGATGACTTGTACAGGAAATTCCACGCTTTCCGTTCCGGTCGGGACAAGTGTGAGTCCATGTGCACAGTGTATAAAGCAGCACATATGTTTCGGTGTCCAGTGGGAAAAAGTTTTACCAGGTGAGAGTCGCGCAATGTCGATGACGAGTCCCCACCTCCCTCCCCCCGTACGGTGTCCTGGTTTTGACAAACACAAATATGATCACACTAACCTGTATTCACCTGAGTCATGTCTTTTAATCTGACAGACGTTGAACCACATTATAATGTCAAACTGATGTGGCTCTAGAGTGGTTACGGTTTATATGTCGTAAAGTTGAATTTATTTATGTAGATTAGTAGTGCAGATAGTAATAATAATGTTGGTAATTTTAATATAAAAACGTTAATGATTAATCGATAATCGATCGCTAATTCTTCCGAAGATAGATTAAGAAAATTTCAACGAATGCCCATCCCTAGTAATGTGTGATTGCCTCTCTTAGTTTCAGTTCAGTTACGTACAACTATCTAGTCTAATCTAATATCTAATAGCAGCTGTAGGTGTGTAGTCTGCATGTGAAAAATGATAATATGAAGTACAGTCTCTTGTACACTGGTTGCACCTCCACCAATTGTCATGCATGAGTACCTGTTTTCTAAAAAGATTTCTGTTTTCAAATGAAATGAATGACAGACAAACTTTGCTTTATTCAGTTTATTCACACGTGAATTTGTTGCAACATTAGTCCATCAGATCTCCACTAGCACTGAAGCTTGAGGCTTGAAGGCCTGTGGAAGATCTTCATGGGACGAACATCTTGTCACCTTGGGTTTTTACACTCGGCATTTTATAAAAACCCCTGCAGAAGTTGTTTTCTTCTCTACTGTGTCCGTAGTCAACAGAACTTCCCTGAAAGTGGCTGCATGCCGAGGAGGATGTGGTCTGTCTTGAGGATCTTTTGTCTCTAATGGGACCAGGTGTCTCACTGAACATGTCTGAAGTCTGATTTGAAACTGCTCCTCAAGCTGGGACAATTTGACACTCAGACTGTCACACCGCTCCTCCAGCACGTCCGCCATTGCAGCCATCTTGTCCCTCTGCTTCCTGGTCTTTCTCAGCTCCTCAGTGCTCCTCCTCAGCTCCTCTATGACTCTGTCACAGTCCTCTCTGTGCTGTCCCTCCTCGTCGCTGGTTCGCTCTTGGATAAAGCCGGACATCACCTTTCTGTCAGGTTTTTTTTCTTCAAATTTTAAGGCCCTTTCTTTTATCCAAATCCTCCATCCTAGCATGGAGCATGGCTTCCTGACTCTTGAGCTGAGTGCGTTTTAGCTCCAACCTATTTGCCATCTTCTGTAGATCCAACTCTTTGGCTGAGATTTCTCTTTGCCTCTGCAGAATTTCTGACTGGTGCTGAAGGTCCAGTTTCTGCAGATCCAGAGCATGAGACACTTCCATCTGCTCTTTTTCATTTATGAAACTAGACAGAAGCTGCCCTACCTTCCTCTTCTGCTCCTGTTCTAATTCCTGACGCAGTCCCTGGGATACATCAGCCATCTCCCTGCGGTACTGATGCAAGTGCTGGTCACAGTTGGTTCTGGTCAGGCCCTCCCTCTCCTCCTCCACATTTTGTCTGAGAGACTTCAGTTTTCTATCTTTCCTTTTCTGGAGATGTTCTTTTTATGCTGCCAACTGTTCTTCAAACTCAGCCTGGAGTTGTTTCATTTTTTGCTTATTCCTGGTTTTAAGTTTGTTTATATTTTTCTCCAGCAGCTCAGTTTAGTTTAATTTAGCTTTGAGGTCCTCAAGATCTTCATTAATTTCTTTCTTGATTGTCCACTTTTGCCTCTTCTGTTCATTGTATAAGGTTTCCCGGAGTTCCTTTAGTTTTTGGTCAGAGTCCCTCTTAAGCTTTTCCTCCTCCTCTCTCCTCTTTTCTAACAGTGACTGACAGAGAGTCTCCAGTTTATCTTCATGCTCTGCCCTCAGACGCCTCTCCTCTGTCCTGATTTTCTCCTCCTGTCTGTCCCGTTCAGCTTTGAGGGATTCTCTGAGTTCTTTTAATTCTTTCTTAGCCTCCTCCTCAAGTCTGGCTTCCTCCTCCCTCCTCTTTGCCAGAAGTGACTTACGTAGAGCCGTCAGTCTAGCTTTACTCTCAGCCTGCAGCTGCCTCTCCTCCTCTTCTTCTTGTCTCTTGAGTTGGTATTGAAATTGTTTTGATGTTTCCAAACTCTTTTGCATATATAATTCGGATGAAGAAGAAGAAGAAAGACTGCGGTAGTGTTTTGTTGGAGCAGGATCCTCCTTCTGTCTTACTCTATGGACTGCTTTCTCATCCACTTTTTCCTTTTTACAATTTGTGTCTTTTGTGACTGCACTGTAAAGCTTGTCCTTCTCCAGCTCTTTGTCATGTTGTAAGGATGACTCTGAGCTGTCATATCCTGAATTGTTCAAACATTGTAACTCTCTTTCATTATTGTATAATTTGTGTTCTGGCACGGCACACTCAAGATCTTCAACGAAGCAGACTTTCCCAAGTCCTGAATCCTCAAGCTGATCTTGGGAACATGTCAAAGGTTCAGTTTCAGGAGTAGTCAGACAGTGTTCCTGCTCTATGGCTGCAGTATTATGTTCACTATCTTCATCTTGTGGCAGATCCCTGAGTGGTGACTGCTTGGAGAGTTCAACAACAGATCCAAACAGAACCTTTTTCACCTTTTCTCCTGTCACCTTCTGTTTCAGGTACTTTGGAGGATCAGCATGCTCTGGTTCCAAATCATATTTCAACAAGTCTTTCCTCTTGCCTGTTGTTTTCTTCAAGATCCATTTGGAACCTTCACCTTCCACAGGCCTCGCCTCCTCTGGCTCCACAGAGTGTTCTGCTGTGGGTTTACTGTTCTTTATCACAGTCTTCCCTGTTTGTTTGTCTGTTCCTTGTTTCTGGGACACAAGGTGTTGGAAATTCTTGTCAATTGAAGGCAGAGGCCCGAGCAGTAACTTGGAGTGTTTTGAGCCAGACCCCTGTGAGTCTTTCTATCTCTCCCTTCTTTTCACCTCCTTCTTAAATAAACTTTCGGAGAGCTTACCTTCAGCACTCCATCCTCTAAAACCAGAGGGTCCATTAAATGTGTCCTCTTTCTCCTGCCTATTGTTGTTTCATGTGGGTGTCTCTGGACTAACCTCTGGTGAAGTCAGATTAGTGTAGACACCCAGCACTGATGTTTTGAGCGGTTTCAAGGTCTCCAGTATATGAGCACCCCGGCTTTTGACTGGAGGCACCAGTGGTTTGTTCTGTAATGACATCTTGGGAAGATGTTCAAACCTGTCCAGAGGTAGCAAAGATCCTGTGATTGGTGGCAGAGTTGAAAGCACTGGTTTCATGGCAGACGCTTTCGTAATTACAGTATAAGATCTGATGGGAAGTGGTCAAGATATGATCACTTAAAAAAAAGTTTGAGTAGGAGTTCAAGTCTGTGTGGCGTTCGTCGGCTCGCTGTTAGTGTTGTGGTAAGTAAAGTAAACGTATAGCAACCACGGCAACCATATTTGGCCAAGATTTCAGTTTGATATGATTACCTTTTTTGAAGCACAACATTGTATGGAACTGGTGATTATTACAGATTTTTAAAATATACATGTGATCCATGGCTGAAAATGATTTGTAACTAGTTTCCCTACATCATCACACTATTCATGGGATTCAGTTTACTGTTTTATATGAAACTTTTTGAGGATATTTTCCGATTCAAAAGATAGACCTATTTAGTTTTAAATAGGACACTGGACTGCCTTTCACATATTCAGATATAGGGAAATCTGGCTTCTCCTCATAATCTAAAATCTCAAAACCACCAGATGATACTGAATCACTCTTGAAGTAGCATTGGTTTGGTTTAACATAAGGATTGAAATTTGAATTCTGCGTGTGACGACATAATCCCAGTTTCTTATCTATTTTTTGCACATGCCTTTTTTTCATAATCTAATTTTGCTGCCAATATACTCTGCCTCAGCCTGTATCAGCTTAGGCCCTGCTTGACGAGTGTTGGATGACTATCACTCCGCTTTGCAGCCTCTGATTAGTGATGAGGCAGAGGTATGTAAGCCAGGGGAATGCTGACTGCTGTGAAAGTGTCCTGCCTCCGGAGGGGCTGGCATCTGAAGAAGGGCACTCGGATAAACGGGGCCCGATGTAGCTGCATCCCAGAGCGGACATGTGCCTCCTCCTCCCCTCTCTCTCTCTCTCTCTCTCTTTCTCTCTTTTTCTCTCTCTGTCTCTCTCTGTCTCTCTGGTACATTTCCCATTCAGCTCAGCTCTGACACTCCTGTTACGGTGACAAATGCGCCGGGCCATGCCTCTCTCAATGTCATCTCCTGTGCCCTCTTTATCCATCTCCGAGTACAAGGAGGTTCTGATCTTCCAGGCTGCCAGCGTGTCTGTGTGGGCAGAGTACTGTATGCATGCTGATGGCTGGTCATTTGCATGTATATAGCTGCAAGGACCACTGGGTTTACACTGGGGTTTCATCA